GCTGCTCTTTTCCTCTCTTCTTGGACCTTCTTCTCTTCAGCCTCCCACAAAGTCTTTTCTCTAGCAGCCGCCTGTAAAGCCTTTTGCTTTATATACTCTTCTCGGACCTGCTTCTTTTTCTCAGCCTCTTGAGATGCCTTGAGAGCAAGCTCTGCAGCGACAGCTTCATCCTCGGCCGTCCTGAAACCTGGGTCTGTGGCATGTAGCTGGGAAACCCCTCGCTGCAGATCTTGAATCTCAGCAACCCTAATTGCTGCAGCTTCCGCACTTGCCTTGACTTCTTTGGCCCAAGCCTCCTGTCGCGCTAAGCTGGCCTTCATTTCCATCAATGCTTCCAGCTCAAATAGTTCTTGAAATAGCTGGTTTCCTAAAAGACAAAAAGTCTCAAAGTCTTTCCAATTTTTGTGTCCTAAACATAGCCACTAAGCTGCGTGCGTTGATTCAAGGCAACCTTCTCTGGCGTCATCTCTGGATGAGGTCGCTCAGCCATTGGAGCAGGAGTGCAGGTAGAAGAGCCTCCCCAACAACTTAAATTAACAATGAATTTAATGGAGCTAGAAGGCAACAGAAACAGGAATGTCAAGCCTCCACAAGACTTCCCAGACAAGCTTGGCCTTGATTTAGCCTCCAGACACTGGGAAGAACCGTGGTGAGAAACATACATTCCATGCACACATGCATGCATTCCAGCAACCACAGAGTCATGGCCATCGTCTTCTTCACCATCACCCAAGTCTGAGCCAGAGTCTGAGTCCGGGCCGGAGTCCGATGCACTTGACGAAGAAGACACACCTGCAGCAACAACATGTGCACATGGAAACAGGTGACTTAGAAGCAACCCAAACCTGAGCCACCACGACTTGGCAGAGTAATGCCGGCGTATTCAAAGATCTGCTTAATGTCAGGACATCTAGGAACATGTGGCCGCCTCATTTAAGCTGACCAAAGAAAGGTCACTGAAGCAACAAATGTATTGCAGCATCAAGCCACTATGAACAGGACTACACCACTACACCACAAATCTGACAAGAAACTTGGCCACTCTGCTGAAAGCTGACACTAACTTCCTCACAATCTTCGCTTGAAGCTTGACACGGTTGCCTCAAACAATCGTGAGCAAACCTAGCAACAGCCAAGTGTCCACAAGCCACGTGCACTGTTTGCAAACAGGAAACCATTCAGTTCTATATGGCGTGGCACGCAAAGATTGAACAGCATCTCCATTGCGTATTCCAGGGATGAGATCGATGGTCTCATCCCGAGGTGTTTGCATGCCAAGCCCACTGCATGCTTGTTTTCCTTGATGTGTCCTTGGCTCAATACCCCAGAGTTTGAAGATACATATGTTAACACACACACCTCAATGGTGGTACAAACTGCAAACAAACTTCGACGTGTGATCTTCTTCCCATTCACAGTGCAAAGGGATTGGTTAAAGGCAGCGCATCGCAATTGTGGCACAGAGTTCCAAGCAGTGGCCAAGGCAGTTGCCTGGTCCAAAGCTGCCATCTACTCTACCCAAACTACACACCAGGCAACTTAGCTGGTGCAAAGGGCTGCATCACACAGCAAATGCCACAAGTGCAAAGCCAAAAGAGCCACTAACAGTCACCAACAGTTTTTGACAAACAAATTACAGCTGGCACTAAACCGCAGTGGGCACTGCGTTGGACTCCAATCAGTCCTGCAATGAAAGAAAGGAACTGAACATGACATTGGTCTGTATCCTTGACGGACTCATGTCCCATCCTCTTTCACCAGCTCCCATATACCTCCTGCATGCACAAGCAATCAAGGGCAACTTGGTAGGGCGGGGGTTTACTTTTCATATCATTTCATCACAAGCATGCATGTTCAGTCCTGGATCCACCATCATGGATGCCCCAGCCAGGAAAGGTTCTTTCACCCCTTGAACCCCTCCAAGGCTACAGAGATCAACACACCCATTCATAGTTTTTAGGCCTTCAGCATAGTGAAGTGAACCATCAGGAACGAAAAGCATGTTTTCATAGGGTTTCCTACCATTTTACAAAAAGTGCTCGAATTGCTGGCCTGATGGTAAAAGCGCTCGTTTTCCAGAAAAGTGTACATTTATTGGTTTTAGGGACGCTTAACATTATTAAGTACCACTATCCAAAGTGTACACTTTTTTGTGTACCAAAGGAGAGTCCAGGCACGTGTTCTTCGCTTCTCAAACTCGCACAGCCGGACGGTTTGCCTCCCTAAGTCATCTCACACCAGTATTGCAGCCATGTTTTGACCAATGAATTTGGAATATGTTGGGACATCAGACATCCTCCGGTCACCACTCCGGTTTTCGATCCGGTCATCCTCCTTTCCTCCGGCGTCTCCAACACCCACAGCGCCCACCGTCCCTCCTTCTCGTACTGCTCCACGGCAGTGCCTGTGGTGACCTTCTTCAGCACCTGACCCGTCACTCGTCGACCGTCACGTCATCACCCTCGCGTCGCTTCCGCCGTTCTGAAGCTCTGGGAATCAGAAGAATCGGCGATCGATCGGGCGATCGCCTAGTGGTGGAAGTCGGGGTGGACCCGATATCCTGGGCCATCTTCCCGTTCGAAATCTTCAAGCATCTTCAAACTAACAAACACAGGTTTCCAATCGTTTATAACGGTTTATATATGTACACATGGATCGCATATGATTGAATGACCAAACATATCGTTCATGCCTATGCTCACTTCATTGTTTCATACTACTATCTTTCAGACTTCATCAGCTTCATCTTCCTCAGCGTCATCATCCGCCCAGTCTGATCTGAACGGATCTGCTGAGGCTTCGGACGTTGCCGGCCTCCGAGAGGTAGTTCGCCTCGTGAAAAATTTCGCTTGCAGTGTCACGGGAGGGTATGGACGACATGATCATGGTGGCACAATCAAACAGGCTCCCTTCTCCAATTTGGCGTGGAGGCTGCTTCACACTGCCAAACAAAAGAATCAATGTGGATACTGAGCCTTTCGACTGATGTGCAAAGATTGTTCAACTCGTCGCAAAAGCACAAGAAACTCAGTTTGCTTTCCCCATCTTGTGCAACTATTGAATGAAACCCGCATCCAGTCAACACCCCGACTCCTTTGACAGTCTTTAACTTTGTATAATGGATCTACACTCATGCATAGGAAACTCATGTACGACACGGTACACACAAAATAGTCCTTTGCCAGTTCCAATGCAAGGTGATATTGTTCCTCCATCTAAATGGGCAAGTCACATCAAACACGACAAACTCGAACTGTCACATCCCACCCAGGAGGCACCTGATCAGACTGTGACCCGGACTTCTCCGCGCAGTAGGCGCACTGCACGAAGCAGTTCCCTGCCTGCAGGGGATTTCTGGGGCATCCGAGAGCGTTGTGACAAAAGTGCGGCAACACGAAGAAAGTAGTGCTCTGGCTTGAACATCATGTCTGATTACTCTCTATCGGTGGTGGTTTGCTACTTAGAGAGCGGCAAAGCAAGTTCACTTCGCATTGCGTTGCATTGTCGCCCGTAGAAAAACATGGACCACTCTTGGGTCAACCCTTTTCTGCAAAGCCAACAAACTGCATATACTTCAGGATGGATTCCTCTCAATTTGACCAAGAAGATCCAAGAAAAGAAGACCTCGAAGTTTGAACCAACGAGACTTCAGTCGAAGATCACCCGTTTTCTCAGTGCGCAGCTCCGGATTTTTGACCGGTGACATGTCATGAGTTCTCCATGTCCAGGTTCGATCACAGCCTCCTGCCACATCTTCGCCATCTTGTACTGATTGGCCGCTTGCTGATAGATCTCGATGGCCTAAACCGGTTCCATCGGACGAGCCATCGCTCGCTCGGCCGAGCAGTTTTGTAGGCGGGAAAGTTAGAGTGAACACACGGGGGATGTATGGGATGCACTGCACTTGTGTACGCTGATGGTATGGTTCTCTTGCAAAAAATACAAACTGTTGACTCTCATCGAATCTGCCTCAACACCCCAGTTTCACCAAGATATATAATAGCACCAAAATGCACCAAAACATGTCACATGCTCAATTGAATCGACTGGGAATTGTGTTGGTTGATGACTTTTTCAAAACCACCTCTGGCACCCCCAACGACCCACACACACACTCTCCCCACAGAACCCACGGCCTCGTCGTATTTGGGACCTCCAGTGAAGTAGCCCATCAAACCACCTCCTGTGAAGCAGCGGTCAGCTGGCAAATTATGCAATTGTCGTCGATTTTCTTAAGCTGTCAAGCTGGCATGAAATCCAGAGCCGAGTGAATCATTTCCGGTGGCAGAAAGGTCGGGCTCTGATCGCAAAGGTCGGGCTCTGAGCTCGAATTCTTAGGAGCTCACCACCCTTCAGCTTTTGGTCAGCTTTCTTCACCAGCCTCAGCTTCGTGAAGGCTATGGAGTCTCTGAAAATCAATATCATCACGACGCAGTCCGGACACATTGATTCTTGTAGTGCGAGCATGTCTTCTACACACATCCCATTGCTTTTCCCAGGTCAACAAATTGGCCTTAACCCTCACGCTGGGTGACAGACTCCTGCGCCGCGTCGGCTGACATGGCCCTGCAGCACAAAGACACACGCTGAGTGATTCAAGATGGGCCAAGTAGGCCAAGTGACTGTCAAAAAGGACGAACTGTTCATTCATTCTGAGCAGTTTGGGGCGTCACTCCAATGGGTGATCCAGAGACCAAACTTGCCTCAAATCCCACATCCAAACCACTCCGATCTTCACGGCCTAAAACCTAGGAAGCAAAGTGAACCCTGATTGTTCTCTTTAGGCCAATCCGGTGTCCAACTGTTGTCTTATGTTTGCTCTTTTCGACTAGGGGCCGTGTCCACGGTTCTTCTTCAGGATTCAATTGTTGGCTTGACAGTTGGTGGCTAAACATGTTGGCACTGAAATGATGTTACAGGGTTTTTACACTGACCTGTGGACTGGTTCACGTTGGCAACACCTGGTCACATGGAGGTCTAGCCATTAAGGGGCTGTCAATTCACATGAAACCAAAATAGGGCATAAAGGTGTCCAATGGTGTTCAATAACAATTCGGAACTGGATACGATTCTGCATGTCTTAGTGTCACATGCAAGCCACCAGAATCAAGAACGAAACACGAGTCCAGTCCATGCCTTAAATGCAGCGCAATTGGCCCCGGCTACAAAAAATCTGTTGATGGTTGTGAAATGTGTGAAATGATCGAATCTGCAACACTGGCTGTTGCTCTGCAGGCAACATGTTCAGCTGTTGCTCTGCAGGCTAGGTCGTGAACCTTGGAAGCCAATACATTGAAACTAGCTAGTCAATGCTAGTAACATGTTTCTTGTTTTTGTAGCTTGATGTAGCTTGTAAGTCTGGTTTCATCGAGCTAGAAATTGCCTGCAAAAGCTCCAGCTCAAAGCCAAACCAAACAGATCGAGTTCGAAGAGAGTTCGAACGGCCAAACTGAAGCTGAAATCAACCTGAGGTGCTCACGTTACCTACTTGGGCGGCTGATCTTCGACTTGCTGAATCAACATGACACGCAGTGGCGAGGGTCATGGAAGGGAAAGCACTCACCTGGCATTGGACACTTGCAGATGATGCTAGTTTAGCACTTCTAGGCTGGTGTGACTGGAAATAAGTTATATACTATAGACACAACTATGCGCGATGATGGCATGAACACTGCAATTTCACTTGTCGCATTCCGATGGATACCAAACACACATTTCTGGTGCACAACGTTTCCAACAACATGGTGGTTGGCATCATATTCGGCCAAAGAAACAGAACTCATCACCTGGAACATTGGTTAGCTCAGGCACAAGATGAAAGACCGGATTCTCGTCACCCATGTTCATCAGGGATAGTTCTCTGGAAATATTTCCAGGCCCCTTTTGCTCGACGCATGCAAACAGTGAGGCAAAGGAGCAACAAATTGCAGAACAATTGACACTACAATCCTCCACAATCTCTCCAATCTGGGTCATTGAACTCCCCCGGACATGGAACCTGAAGACCATTGAAGGTAAACATGAGACCTTCCGGCGTCCGCGAAAAACCTCCGGTTCCAAATTCCGCAGAACCTCACGTCACGACCACGACGCCGCATCTGTGCATGTTCTTTTCTGCGGCGCAGCACTGCCCTGCCTCGCCTGTAGGCTGGCCCTCCTCAAGATGCTATGAGCCTGAGACCAAAACCAAGCGAACACCGGCTAAACTGCCCACTGCACTGGACCACAGCAAACGGATGATGTTGCGCAAGATTTTTGACATGCGTCAAAGAAGACATCACATCATCTTCCAACGCGTGGATGCATCCTTTTGGTTCGTTCAGGTGACACAAGAGACTTTTCCTCGCCAAACATCACCAAACCACCAACTTCATACACAACTTCTTCGCAGTTCCTTGCCATGGAAACTCTGGCGTAACCGCGCACCACAAAACCTGCGACTTCATCTTTTACACCTCCTTCGTTTTTCCACTGTTCCGACTTGGTCCTCTTTTGGGGGTGAAGAGAGCTTTCCATGTTTTTTTGTTCAGGGTGTGCACGCTGTGGCCTTGGGTTTGAAATGGTTTGAAGGTGTCAGCTTTAAATTCCAAACCCTTGACCTAGCGCGCATTTCCTAGGATCAGGATCGCTCGAGCTTACCTGGACCGTCAAAGTGGTCTTCAAAACACCACATCCATCTGCGCGTGCCTCCCTTTGTTTTCCGCTGACAGCAAACTTGTCGGGCTGACAAATGCACGGAGGACCCTGAAGCACTGGGTCGTCCTGACCATGGGAATCTTGTCTGAGGCATGCATCAGGGAAGATGCAACTTACACCTTTGCCTTCAAAGGCAAATGACTTTTGGGAGCGGCGGGGTGACACCGACCAAAGAATGGAAGGTCTCGAAATCCCAAAACAACCATATCATACAAGGCCTTGTTTCTTTTCTTAATAGTGGTTGTGGGGTTGAAGCCTTGCCAGCCTCATGTAACCTAGAAATGGTTAGAACTTGGACCCACAATGTCTAAATCGCAAGACCAACATAGTTAAGAAAGTAAACACAAAAAACCATCAAATACCTCTCACCACATATACATATATACATATATATATAAATTTTGGGAAAGGGTTGGTATCACATTAATGATTGGAAAACCAGTGCAGTTTGAACTCAAGTTTGCAGCCTTTCGCGCAAATGACCAAAAGTGTCTTGTGTACCCTACGGACGGTCGCAAGGCCTTGACCCACATTGTTTATTCGTACATCCTCCACCAGGATACGACCCTGAGAAGTCGATTGAGCTACAATGGCTTGACAATTTCAATTCGTAGGTAGTTATGCATTTCCCTTTTTCAACACTCCTTTGGTCTTGTCCTCCACTCAGACTTCCGCAAGCAATCTGTAGACAGCACAATGTGTGGCGACCCAAAAGATGTTGTTCATCACCTAATCACCAAAACTGCCTTCGCCTGGATGGACATTTGGAGGGCCCTGGGTTCTTCTCGTACACTCAAAGAAAAGTTGACCCTAGCAAGCCCTTCCCCGTTGCCTGCAACACCAAGAACTTAAGAGGTTAAGGAGCGGTTTTGAAGGATTTGGCGCTCTTTTGTAGAAATCTACTCATCCACCGCGCGCAAAAACCAAACGCCAAATCCTGAAAAACAGCGCCTTCACTTAAAAAACAAACACCAAACCAACACCATCACTCAAAAAACAGACTCCGCACCAAAACCGCACGGAAAAAAAATCGACGCCAAACCGCGACGGCGAATTGGTGTCTTTGGGGTTGTAATGACATTGGGCCTCATGTCTTGTCAGATATTGACGCCGTGGGACGTAAATTGTCGTCACTTTTTGGCCGGGAGGGTTGATGTATCCTTTAAAGTATCCCCTTGTCTAGTCATGTGGATGAATGTATACGCCGTAGTCTCTAATTAGGCCATGACAGGACTTCAAAGCAGTATTGGGAGTTGTGCGTCCCTTGATGAAGGTTTGCTATCAAGAGGAACAATTTTGAGATGCCCGCGCATGCTCAGGAGCTTTGAAGCCCTTTGAAGGTCCCCTGTTGGAAAAGAGCACTTTGCACTTCCAGTTAAGACTAATCCTTTAGTGCTTTAGATGCAGGGTTTGAGGCTGTTTCTACCTTGAAAGTAGCTGCGAGGTCTCTTCTTCCCTTTGAAATGGTTCTCGAGTCGTTGCGAGGACCCAAGCCTGGGATGCAACTTTGTTCAGAGCCACAGCGCAGGCGAGTTCTTGGAAGGCCTCCAAATGCTCCGAAAAGTAAAAGTCATACTTCCAAGACGCTACTTGCAAGCCGCAAGGGACAAATTGCTGGCCGCCGTGCCGGCCGGCGAAGGCAACCAAGACGATTGGGACTGGGAATTCCTCCGCGAATGTGTGGAGGACATCAATCATGTTCATGACGCTTCTTGGCTTGCAGATCATTTATATGATCAAAGACAATCCAAAGACCATAATCATCATTGTGGAGTTTCACCAATTCTTTTGCATAAGGGAGATGAAGGGCCAATCCGAGTCAGATACAATCGTTCTGCCATGAGATTGTTTGGTCAGCGCCTCCTTTTCCTCAAACCCCTTCAGTACCACCTTCTGAAATCAATCAGTGTCTCGAATCAATCCTTCTTTTACTGAGAAGTTTGCACATTCTCCTTGGATGGGGGGCTTAAACTTGAACTTGCCACCTCTTCCAGTCACTGATCCATCCATCGCAGGTGGACATGCTTCTCCGGGGACTTCCTACAAGGGAAATGACGAGGGCGATGATGATCGCCATGCAGATGGAGCCAGAGGAGCTGGACACCCTTTCAGAAGGAGAGGAGCCACAATTTAAAACGGGAAGTTGAGTTGCGTCATCAAAGGACGTTTCGTTGAGTAGCGCTTGATGGCGATTTGCAACAGGCAAAGCCCTCCACTTGACGGCACAATGTGAAAGGGGAAGCGCAAGCAACCAACAGTGATGAACAACATCTTTTGGGTCGCCACACATTGTGCTGTCTACAGATTGCGGAAGCGCCACACATTGCGCTGCCTACAGATTGCATGCGGAAGTCTGAGTGGAGGACAAGACCAAAGGAGTGTTGAAAAAGGGAAATGCATAACTACCTACGAATTGAAATTGTCAAGCCATTGTAGCTCAATCGACTTCTCAGGGTCGTATCCTGGTGGAGGATGTACGAATAAACAATGTGGGTCAAGGCCTTGCGACCGTCCGTAGGGTACACAAGACACTTTTGGTCATTTGCGCGAAAGGCTGCAAACTTGAGTTCAAACTGCACTGGTTTTCCAATCATTAATGTGATACCAACCCTTTCCCAAAATTTATATATATATATGTATATATGTATATGTGGTGAGAGGTATTTGATGGTTTTTTGTGTTTACTTTCTTAACTATGTTGGTCTTGCGATTTAGACATTGTGGGTCCAAGTTCTAACCATTTCTAGGTTACATGAGGCTGGCAAGGCTTCAACCCCACAACCCCTATTAAGAAAAGAAACAAGGCCTTGTATGATATGGTTGTTTTGGGATTTCGAGACCTTCCATTCTTTGGTCGGTGTCACCCCGCCGCTCCCAAAAGTCATTTGCCTTTGAAGGCAAAGGTGTAAGTTGCATCTTCCCTGATGCATGCCTCAGACAAGATTCCCATGGTCAGGACGACCCAGTGCTTCAGGGTCCTCCGTGCATTTGTCAGCCCGACAAGTTTGCTGTCAGCGGAAAACAAAGGGAGGCACGCGCAGATGGATGTGGTGTTTTGAAGACCCGGGTTCTGTCCGGTCCTAAGGCTCTGCTCTTTGCAGTTTTCCAAAGCTGTAGGAAAGCTGAGCTGCAAGGCTACAGGCTAGAGGTTATGTCGGAACAAACAGGCTGCAAGGCTCCTTACTTGGAACATGACACAATTTCAGCGGATACCCAGAGCTCTGCGCCTCAAACGTCTGCACCTCTTTTCTTTGATGTCTTTCGCCTCTGCATGCTTGGCTAAGATCACAAGGAACAAAATGGAACAAGCCTCAAACCAATAAAGACCACTAAGAAGTGATTCTATATGAGTCTACATTCATGGTCGTGTATGCATGGATCTACCCTCACAGTCCCAACCTAAGACAATCCAAACGCCAAGCGTGGTGACTAAATTCTGCTAAATTCAGAGTGCAAAGCTTCTCCTCCCAAAAAATATATTCACAACTCTAAACTCTAAACCAACTGGAAAAATCTGTAAAATACACCACGTCTTTGGAAGATGCAAAACACCGCCCGGCGCCCGGCGCCCGATCCGGACCGGCGCGGATCGATGTTCGCGCGGTGACGCGGCGCACAGTGAGATGTAGAAGCGATCGACTCGATGCCCTTTGGCCCAATGAGAGTCGAAATAGGAGCTTGACTTCACCTTAGGCCGGACCAAGCTTGTTCAGTTGGACTTCCTCTTTTCGGAGCTGTTCCGGGTCTTCCGGTCCTGCGGGGGGTTCAACCGAAGGTTCCTATATAGGTGACCCAACGGTAGGCTTCGTGACGTGACCGAAGCCATGAAGAAGGTGATCCAGTTCGGTCACGAACTGTTCAGAACCAGGTGATCAAGGTTTGTTGATTGTTCCATGATTTATATCGATGATGGGTCCAAAAATCCCAGGATATCCCATGTATACCAGGATAAGTCGGATGATGATCGTTAGGTCGGCCATCTTCCATCTCTATTTTAGAGTGCTTTAGCTGGTTCACTGACTGTCAGAAGTAAAGACCCAATTTAGATGGTCCAATGATATTTAGATTCTACCAGATTCTCCTCCCCTCTCTTTGATCATCTTATCAACAAAGCAAGCAATAGTCAGGAGACACCCGTTTCCGGGTCCAACCGCAGGTCCCGCTGAGACCCAGGGCCAGGTGACCACTTTCCTTGTCCGGCCAGCCATGGTGCAGAGCCACCTCAGTCCGGTTCCCGACATCGAAGAACTCATTCCAAGCGCTCAGCTCGCTGTTTTCTTGGACAACATACCTTTTTGACACGCGCATCAAACTATAGACAAACACAACTATGACTATGTAACATAACACATATATATATATATATGTCGCTTTGGTCCTCTGACTGACTTTTATACAGCTTAAAGCATCTAAAAACCATCTAAACACCCTGTCGGAATTGAAAAGTTATTTGCAGCAGGTTTGACGCATGCCCCCACTTTGCACTGGCTTTTGGAGCAGGTCTAGACCTTCTGTCTTTACTTTGGGAACATGATGGAACAGTGTTGAAAGACCGGTGTCGAGTCGACCAGATCGACGAACATCTCGGTCTGTGACTTGATGGAACATCTGCTTCTCCCCAGGATGGTCGACCTGAAAAGCTTCGCTTCGCTTCAAGCTAAGGTCTCAGTGAATTGACCTCCTTAGCGAATCCTCTATACCCTATATATATACTCTATATATATCCGTAGAGTCAAAGACTCTAAACAGAATTCTCTGACGAACGGTGACCCGAAAAGGCATTCGTCTCATTTTGTCTCTCTCTCTATATCCTGGGAAGTATCCTGGGAGTCAAAGACTATCAAAAGAATCGCCTTTAGGTGACCCGAAAAGGAATACGCTTCACTTCAGTCGGTCAAAATATAGTCTTTGGACTTCTAGCGTGTATATATATAATATTTTTTTTTGTCCGGCTCTTTTCAGCATGAACGAGTTCAGTTGGACTCATGCCAACATCGTGCGGATGTCGCGAGAGGTGGAGGTGGTGCTGCATCTCCTCTTGAGTTTCTCCGTGAGCTTGACCTGCTCGTCTTGAAAGCGCGCCCTGGCATGGCACTGAAGGCACTCGACCACATTGCCCGAGCGGTGCATGTGGTGCGTCGGGTGCCCGAACCAGAGACTGCTTGCCAGAGGTCCGTGATGGCAAACTTCCCCAACGAAGCGGGTGAAAATTTCCTCTCCTGCCCTTGCCAACACGTAGCTTCTGCAGCGGGTGCAACGGAGATACGCTTTCTCCAAGCGCAGGTGATGAGTGCCAGGCGGCACCTCACCTTGGCTCTCCAAAAGATCATGGATGACCTCGAAGCGGGTCTTCTTTGGAGCAGGCTTGGGAGCTGCTTGAGGGCATGGCACAGTGAGGCCTTCACGTAGCTCCTTGATCAGCGATTTGGTGTGAAATCTCACTCGACAGTGGGCACACTGAATGCCTGACCTGAAAAGCTGCCACTGATGTCCCTCGGCCTGTGGGTTCTTCAAATAGCTGGCCAGGAGATCCTTCTTTTGTTGGATCAAAGGGACTTTCAAGTTGTCCGCCATGGCAGCTTTGCGATGTAGAAAGTGCTCCTTGCAGGTGAGGAGGATGTTCATTCTGTTGCCGGCCACACTAAGAACATCGCGAGTGTCTTCATCAATGTGTTTCTGAAGATCGATGATCTCTTCGGGTCTGGCCAAGAGTGCTGCCTGAGTTGCCTTTGCCTGCGTGTCTCGCTGGAAGGCTTTCCTGTTGAGATTCGAATCCATTTCCTTCCTATTGAAGAGGAGAAGACGGACCTGATCAAAGTCCTCATGCTCCAGTCCAATGCTGAAGTCTGGGAAACGCTCATGAGCAGCGAAGAAGGACCAGTGCTTCCAGATGGCATGGTCAAAGACCGCAACATGCACCTTGTCCCGGATGTGGAGTGAGAGGTGTTTCAACCCGTAGAACAAAGCTCTCAACCGAGTGGCTTTGCCAGGACAGATGCCAGTGAAAGAGGCGACCCGCGCTCTGGTGAAAACCTGGTGGATGCAAATGGCAAAGACAAAGCGCCGATGGCGGGGATCCTTGGACGTGGGCGCCACGGCCAAGGAAACTGCATGTCCTGCAGGCAAATTGCACGCCTCCAGATCCGCCCATAGGCCTTCGCCAGGGCATGGCCATCTGGGATGTAGAAAATGGACTGAGTCATTCCCCTATTCCAGAGTTCAGGCTCGGAGTTGGCCTGGATTCTTTCTCGCCATTGTTGCGGCAGTGGTTGGTCACGTCCTTCCCAAAAACTGCACTCCCACAAGAGGTGGATGAAGGTCAGCTCAACACCACACAGAGGACAAGTCCCGGTCTGCCCATGGAGAGTGCCTTGATGCAGGGCTCGGATGCCGACGGCAGCTTTCTCACTGGTCATCTTTTGGAGAGTTTTGCTGACGCTCCAATCCAACTTCCTCTCCAAATCGTGGCAACCCTCGTACCTGGTCAGGCGCAGCAATCGTTGCCACTGAAATTCCTCATTGAGCTTGTATTGGATCTCCGGCCAAAGGGCTTCCAGGCTGATGCAGCAGTCAGGGATTCCACCATAGCCTGTTCTCTTCCATAGTTTGCCATTGGAAATGTCAAAGTCGTAATCCAACAGGTAAGCTTGTAGCGCTTGAAGAGGTCCAGTGACGACTTGCCAGCGATGCTTGACCTTGAGGAGGAGGTCCAAGGCAGAGTTCCAGCTGATCCAAAAGAGGTGCTGAGCACTGGAGTCGAAAGAATGGAGGACTTTCCATACAGTGTGGATGTGCTGGAGAATGATGGAGTCACCAGGGTCACTCTTGTCAGGATGCATGTCGAAAACGACATCAACGGAGCCTGATCTTTGTAGTCCAAGGCCTCTGCCAGCCAAGACCCGCAGTTGCTGACGACGTTGTGGAGCAAGGCCATTTGCTTGAGCCCCCCAAGACATCACTGGGTGAATTGCTCCACGGTGTAGCCGGTACTTGGTCGCATTGCCAAGCTTCAAACGCAGCATGATGCCAACCCGTCCTCTGCCCTTCAAGAATCTTTTCTTGATTTGGGTGATGCGTCTGCGCCGGGAGTTGGTGGCGTCAATGCCTAGGTCTCTGAGGATGTTGTGATGCTTGGGATCGTCTTCACGGAGCTGAGCATCCAGGGCTTTTGCCGTTTCCTTGCTGCTTGTGATGAAGCCAGTTTTCTCCGTGTTCAGCTTCAGCCCTTCTGCCGCGAGGGTGGATTGCAAAGTCCTGAAAGCCAGAACCGCCTCCCGGGCCACATACTCCGGATCAGTGCCTTTGATGTCATAGGAGACGTCGTCCACCCAAGTCTGCAAAATGACGGCCGGATGCTCTCTGACCAGGGTTTGGAGCGGTCTGTGAAGCACAAGCTTAGCGATGGCCGGAGCTTGAGGGCAGCCTTGGAGTATGCCGTTCTGGTAGTGCTTGGGGCTTCCTGCAATGCCCTCCGCTTGGATCAGCCTGGGACCAGAGTAAAGGTCCAGAGCCAGCTTGAGGTGCAGAGGAGGGTAATTGAGGTTGGTCGCTGGTTCGATGAGATGGTCCAGTTGCACCGTGTCGTAGAAGCAGGTGAGGTCAGCCAGGCATGTGACAGTGTGGATGCCCTGGTGCTTCCCTATCTCGGCTTTGAGCATGCGGCCAACTGCTATCGAAAGACAGTCCTTGTGTGGCCTGGCATGATCCCATGGCATGTCCTTGTCGAGACCCAGCTGCCACTTGTGGAGTTCGGCTTTCCGATAGCTGTTCCAAAGCCGGTAGAGGCAAGAGGTGAGCGCAATAGGTCGCTCGATGCGTTCATTCTTTGGAATCATCACGATGTTGGTGTGACGCAGCTGAATTGGCAGTTCTGCTTCCTTCTCCATCTCAGTGAGAAGGTGGGAGAGCTTCTCGACAGCAGGATATGGAAGGTGCCTCAAGAAGTCATAGGAGATGCCATCTGGTCCTGCTGCCTTGTTCGGGAGCCGTCGCATGATCTTCTGAAGAAGACTGGAGTCAATCGGCTTCATCTGCAAAGCATGAGCTTGTGCTACCCGCTTCAGCTCTTGGAGACCGCGAAGAGGCATGGGATCCTCTCGTGGAATCCAAATGGCACCCCACTGCTGTTCTCTGGCAGATGTGCGAGAAGTGGGAGGGAGGTCTTGGAAGGGCCGTTGCCACGCATGATCTTTTTGTCGCAAGCTGCGAAAGAGCCCCCTGAGGCCCTTGTCGTGAGCCTTCTCCAACCACTCTCGGAACTCATGATTCGTGGCACTGAGAAGCTGTTCTTGTGCTAGTTGTTGTTCTTGTTGCACGATCTGAAGGAGGTGTGCAGGTGGCACATTGCCGCCAAAGATCCATTTCAGGAGCTGCTCCTCAAAACTTGAGTGATCAAGTTGCTTGGAGGCATGTTGAGAGATCCTCGTTGCCATGTCCTTGAGGTCTTGAAGGAGTCCTGGGTATCTGCCGAGGTTGGCCAGGTTGATCTTGGCTCCGAGCTTCTCCCAAAAGGCCGCACTGCCCTTCTTCCAGACCCTTGGCTTGTCGGAGGTGGCCAGAGGAGCTTGGTACAAATGCACCTGGGAGCCTCTGCCTGTGACAGGGTTGTGGAGGTGCTGAGTGAGGTATTTCTCAGTTTGAGTGGCCCATCTCGCCAGGTCCGATCCCAAACCAGTGATGCCTTGACCCAGGATGTGAAACGGCCCATCATCCTCATGGAAACTGGTCCAAAGATGCTTGGGGTGGTAGTTGCGAGTCACCGGAGGAAACCGCTGTAGCTGCTGAACAGGGAGGGCGGCTTGTTGACAGTCAAACCTGAGCGAGAGGGCACAGTGAGGCTTCCACGGGACTTCCCAGTCAGCTTCGAGGTGCAGGGCTGAGGCAATGGAAGTGGACGCCAGGATGAAGTCCAAGTGGCTTCCTTGCAGCGTCGTAGGGCCAGGTGTGGCGAGGATCTGAGCACGAAACTTGCTGGGTATTGTGGTGGCCGCTAGATCCTCAGGAGCTGTTTGCCAGTCACCGCCAATGATGAAAGGAGCTTGAAGGTGGTCCAGGAATTGCAAGAGCTGACCCAGGAGCTCGGCATTGAGAGGGGATTGTAGTGGTTCCCCCGTGCGAAGGTAGAGCTGAATGATGTAGAGCTCAAGGCCATCCCGTTGCATGGCCAGGGCCGTCCATCCATTCCCTTGCTTGGTGTAGGTGTGGACATGGTGGATCAAGTGCCTGGTGGCATGTAAGGTGAGGAAGCCACCTGTTGATCCTCCATTGCCTGTTGGTTCAGCTGCAACCCCATGGCAGTTCCATCCTCGACTGTGGAAGTACTGGAGCGAGGTGTCCAGCGCCTTTTGCTGAAGATGGGTCTCCTGAAAGAGCATGATCTTGTCTCCTTGCCCCCAGACCCAATCTTGGACTTTCTTGCCAAAGAAGGTGACGTTGCTGAAGGAGAAGTGGAGAGTCTCTTGGCAAGTCTTGGGTTTCTTTGGGAGGTATTCAGCTACTTCCATAGCAGTGTCAGGAACTAGTTCATCAGTGGCAGCTGCGATGAGCCAGATCTGGGCGATTTCCTGCCGCTGCTGCAGAGTGATGTGAGGCAGAGGAGTGGGAAAGGTCCCATCATCAGCCAACCAGTAGAT